GCTTAACTTAGCTCTGGAAGAACGGAAAGGGAATCAAAAGCCGTGAAAGTTTCGATGTTGCATTCCTGTAAAATAATAAAAGTGAAGTTCGATGATCAATGAAATAAACTTCAATATTTTTTTAATCTAAATTATAACTGAATGTTAACATGAACAACTTTCTTAGTGAACTAGACACGGGACTTGTCCTCACAATTACGGAAACTTGTACTGACGACTATAATTATCAATGTTATACGATGTATGGAATTCATACATTTTTCAAAAGCAGCAGTTTCATCTTTCAAATTATATGTAAATGCTAAAAAACTAATAAAAAGTTGATAAACTATTCCCTTAGATTGTACTATCAGTAGCAGGTAACGATCTTCTTTTCTTGACATCTAGACACATATTATCGTCTTGTGAGAATGAATTGGATTAGACCCTTGATCCACTTCCTCTAACGAAATCTTAATGTAAATCACAGGTGACCTAATAAAACATTTCTTCTCATTAACACAGTAAGATAATGACAGCAGCTGAAATATTCGAGAAGAAAGATATAGAAGCATTATTTTTATTAGCAGAACAGTGTAGAGTGAATAATATGATGAAAGAGTAGATGTCGACTATATGGCTCTTAATCTCCTCAGCCTCCACCGCCGTCATAGCTGCCTCCACCGCTATGAAAGCCGCCTCCACCGCCGTCATAGCCGCTCCCACTGCCGTGATAGCCGCCTCCACCGCTGTCATAGCCGCCTTCACCGCCGTCATAGCCGCCTCCATCGCCGAAGCTACCGCCACTAATGCTACCGCCACCAATGCTGCAGCTGCGGCAACCGCCACTATTATAGAGTGCTTTGAATGTGACATTGGTAGCTGAGGACGACTTTGCTGAAAAACCCATTGCTTCTCGATGTTCCTATTGAAAAAAGTTCGCTTGTAATTTCAATACTGTTGTACCATATAAATCTATGGGATTTCCTAATTGTCGTCATCAAGACGATAAATAAAGGGATTTCAATGTTTTCTCTACCTTTGATTCTAGATAGAAAAATATGATTCTTTCTGAATACTGATCTCACAGTTTTTTTGCTAAATTTTTTGTTAATATATAAAAAATAATATGTTGTTGTCTGTGAAAAAAGAACAATATTTGCGTGTAGAAAAGAGAAAACGTAACTCCTTATCCTGTGAGAGAACTGAATAAGGGAGAAAAAATATATGAGAACTCTCTACAAATTTCTCATCTTCAAATATAGTAATTCGAGCGTCTGTGGATCATTCCCATGTAAAATTAATATTGCATTTAACGAAGAAGGCATCGTTTTTTTTTTGCTGTGAAATATGTAAATCGTTTGCGTACATGTGTTTCTAACAATCTTTATCGTGTTGACTGATGTGAAATACTATGCTCGCTTTCCTGTGTTAATTTTTCAATTTTTGGAGCTCTTTAATGCGTTAATCTTCATTCAATATATAACATGTATCGAAATGAGGAATTTCTTTTCTATTTATTTATGTCACCCTCCTTAATTCTTTTCGGATAAATGTTGGTAGATTTGAATTCTCCACTGCTGATTACCTTTAGTCAAGTCTTATGAAAAATATCATTAGATTAGTAGTCCTTAATACTATAGTAGGATTTATTACAGTAATTGCAGAATCCCATACACTGAAAAAAAAAAGGTACCGTACGGAACCTAAAAGGGTTTCGAGATTTGCAACGAATTCGAAACCCTTTTAGGTTTCGTATAAATCGGGTTCTGTACGAAACCCTTATTGAAAACGCCAGAATAGGGTTTCGTACACTACTCTTTCTACTCAATGTAATAAATTATTCACAAGCTTTACCTATCCAGTTTTTAACCACATCACTAACCATAGTTTTAGAATGATTCATTGAAAATAACGCACAACACAACCACACGTCTCCATGAACTACTGTTAACCGTACATGATAGGAATCATGCCACAACTACATAGATATCCACACCATCTTAGCAACGCTACGGTCAGTAAGGATGCCAATAATTCTACCAACACAAATAAAATCTCATATCATTTCCGTTCCATATCCGAGAGCCACCTCCTAAGTTCTTAAGCATTAGAAGACTAACTATCATCCTTATATCTATTTGAAACTAACGTAGACAAGTACACGATTCTACTCATCTGAATATGAATTGAGAGTGATAATTTAACAGATACTTACTTTATCGTCGACGCCTTCTGCAGATCCGAATAACACTTTTAACGTAAATTTGAAATGAAACCGTCCCACACCATCGATCTCTTGAACTGATCTAAATACAAAATAAAATCATATTTCAAATATAACATACTTTGTTGTTGCTTGTTTCGATTGGTCTAATTGCAAAATTCAATTACAATTTAACATAAAAACTTAAATAAGTATTCCTTTGATTAGTTGATCTAAATGTAAAATAAGAATCTTATTTGAAATATAACTTACCTAAGCATTGCTCGCTTCACTTGATCTAAATAGAAAATTAAATAACACTTTGAAATAAAAACTTATCAAACTATTGGATTGGCCAGTTGATCTAAATGTAAAATAAAACTATATTTAAAATGTATATTACCTAACCATTCGTCGTTTCGAGTGATCTAAATACAAAACTAAATAATAATTTGAAATCAAAATTTACCTATAAGTATTCAACTGGTTATTTGATCTAAGTATAATATTAAGTTCTATTTTAAATAGAACTTAGTTTGACGTTGCTTGTTTCGATATATCTAAATATATGACCAGATTACAATTAGAAATGAAAACTTACCTGTGTTGCTTCGGTTAGTTGATCTAAATATAACATCAGAATTTTATTAGAAATATAGCTTACTTTGTCGTTACTTCTTTTCATTGATCTAAATACAAAACTAAATGATAATTATAAATGGAAGCTTGTATTAGTATTTAACTGGTTAGTTGATCTAAATATAAAACAAGAATCTTATTAGAAATATAACGTACCCAACCATTCGTCGTTTTGATTGATCTAAATACAAAAATGAATGAGAATTTGAAATAAACTTTGCCATACTATTGCTCTGATTAGTGTATCTAAATATAGAGTAAGAATCATATTTAATATATGACTTACCTAAGCGTTGCTTGTTTCGATTGCTCTGAAGTACAAAACTGATTTACAATTTGAAATGAAAATTCGTGTAAATATTCAACTGGTCAGTTAATCTAAATATAAAAAAATCATGTTTATAATGTGACTTGCCTTACTCTTTTTCGCATCGATTGATCTAAATAGAAAATGAAATTGAGCTTTGAAATGAAAGCTCAATCAAGTATTGAAATAGTAAATCAAGCCAAATATAAAATAAAATAAAATTTGTAATATAAGTTACAAACAGTTGTATATCTCAATTGATTTAAATACAAAATCAAATCACAATTCGAAATAAATACTTACTTAATTATTGCTATGGTTATTTGATCGATATATAGAATAAAATCACCTTGGAAATATAACTTCCTCAACGTTCATTATTTCGATTGATCTAAATATAAAATAAAATTAGAATTAGACATGAAAATAAACTGAAGTATTCAACTGATCAGCCGATCTAAATATAAAATAAAACCATATGTTTCAAATATAACTTAGTAATGGCTGCTCATTTCGATTGATCTAAATCAAAAGTTAAATTACAATTTCAAAGAAAAATTCACTTAAGTGTTGCACTAGTGAGCTAATCTAAATATAATATAAAATTTTATTTCAAATATAACTTACTGATCCTTCCTTGTTTCGATTGATTTAAATAGAATATCATATTAAAAATATAATCGAAAATCTCAGAAGCATTTAGCTGGTTTGTTGATCTAAATATAAAAGGAAATCATATTTTAAATATAAGTTACCTAACTGTTTCTCTTGTCGATTGGTAAAAAAATAGAATTAAATTACAATTTGAAATAAAAATTCACATAAATGTTAAACTGATGAGTCAATCGAAACATAAACAATAATCTTATTTCAAATTTAACTTACTAACCGCTACTTGTTTCGAATGATCTAAATAGAAAATAAAATCAGAGTTAGAAATGAAAATTCTACCAGTTATTGAACTGGTTAGTTGATCTAAATATAAAATAGAATTTTGTTTCAAATATAGCTTGCCTAACTATTTTTCACTTGGATTGATCTAAATAGAAAAATAAATAGAATTTTGAAATCAAAGTTTGCCTGGTTATTCATTTGGTTAGTTGATATAATTATAAAATAGGAATAGTATTTAAAATATAACTTACTCAGCGCTGCCATTTTCGATCGATCTAAACAGAAAAATAAAGTAAGATAAGAAATCACAATCTCTGAGGTATTTTAGTAGTTCGTTTATTTAAATATAAAATAAAATTATATGTGAAGTATAAGTTGCTAATCGTTGCTCGTTTGAATCGATCTAAATCTAAATCTAAGTTTAACTTAGAAATGAAAATTCAGCTAAATATTGAACTGCTCAGTCGGTCTAGATAGAAAATAAAAATTGAATTTTTCTAAAGAGAGTTGTGTTTTGAACGGTAGAAAATGGCATGATAATTGTATTGAATGGTATTTGCTTATGTGAAGCATATACATGACTGACAATTTCATGTAAACAAGTATAGACATCCTTTAGTATCCAACCGATCAATTATGTCATAAAATATAATCGAAAATAGTCGAAATAAACACATTTGTTGAGATGCTGTACCAATTATTTTTCCTTTATGTAAATGTTTTTTTCTTAAAAATGGTGGTTTATTTTTCTTATCATAAGAATCATGTTCAAATGATATCAACTTATCTTCAATTTCTGCGTAAGAAAGAAGTCGTTTTGTTGATGACTCTTTAAACATTGCTAACAACACTTGACCACAAAGACCTAAATAGTGAGAAAATCATCATTTTCTACAAAAAAAACTCTCTTCGTATACCTTCATGTAGATCATGCATAACATCATTCGGTAATAATACAACAGCATGAAAACCAATTCATTCTGATAATGGACTTTTATCAATAACGTCATCTATAACATCATTATTATTCAAACGTAACACTTGTTGAACTAAATTATCATGCTGATCTTTTGTTCTTTGAACATGAGAAATTTCACTTAAATAAATAAATCGTTGATCATAATTTATATGACGATGTCTACAAAATTGGCCATTACTAAAAGATTTTTGAAAACCACCTATATCATTAGATGCTAAGTGATCACCAGCTACAATAGAAAATGCAAAATTTAATCGACCACCTAAAGCTGGAATATAAAGTTCATTTGTTTGAAGAGCATTGAGGTCCTCGACGATCGAATCAAAAAACTTTTCTCGATTTGATTTTGCAGATAAATGAGCAGGATGACAAATTGCTAGAAGGTCAATTGATGTTAACTTTGACTTGACATTATTGGATAAATCTTCTAATTGAAAATAAATCATTGTAATTTTTTAAGTATCCTTTTTTGCACCTATGGGATTTGTTACTCCAATTTCATCAATGTATAATTGAAACAACAACAAATGAGGTTTATTTTTTAAAATTGAATGCTATTTTGCTTGTGATTCACGACGATAATCGTACATAAGATCAAGATCTAGAGCACTACAACTAATTGTTTCATTATAATTTTTGATTAACATATTTAACACATTAGGCATACTCAACATTTGTCTAATACTAGATTGTGTTGGTATATAATATGCTACTTGATTCGGATTGCCTAACTTTATTTCTTTTGTTGGTTCGTAAAAGAAATATTTCTTCCATAATCTCAAAAAGTTGTATTCATTTTTTATAACATCTGTCATTCTCTCTATGAAATCATGCAAAAATGATATTTATCTGCAAGGAGAAGCTAGAATCGACAAAACGCGAGAAAAACAATAAACATGGCGCAAAATGAACGACTATTTGTAAACCAAAGCACATAGCACAAAATATTTCGGAGTGAGAGGAAATCAGACTTCATTGATGTATAGATAATATAATATTCGAAATTAATTTGTTAACATCAACCGGTGAAATAAAATTGTCTGTTGATAAAGAAGAAGTTGTTGTTTGGCATCGAGTGAAGGAACTTTGAATTTGAATTTTTAATAATTCATGGATTAGCTCAATCAACGATTTAAATCCGAATGTGATTGCTTGGATTATATTTTGTGGTAAAGAATAACCTTCTCTCAGATTTAATAGTAATTCGAAATAAAACTTTTCAAATGAATCTAAATAGACATTTTTCTCTAACAATCGAGTTTTCGCTTCTTTAAGTAATAACCAACAAAAACTAGTTTTATCATCGCTTTCTCCTTCATTCTCGCTTCCGTTGTCTTCTAAATCGTTCTCTTGAATGCTAAAGTCTAATTGTGAATCATCATACGTTGATGGAGACACTTTGTTCGTGTGTGTACCGGTATCAAATTGTACTTCTTGTTTACATAAATCTTCATGAAGAAGATTTACATGTTCTCTATAGACATATGCTTTGTAAGCTTTAAAGTTCGTGTATATCGTTCCACATAATGGACCAAGTTCACATCGAACTTTAAACTTGGTTTGCCTACTGTGAACGTATTGCAAGTGCTGAAATAATATTCGAAATGTGGGATATGATCCGGCTTGAGCACACAGCGAGCAAAAATAATAATTTTGTGGCAATATATCAAGGTCACTTACTAGTAAAAATATGAAGAACTTGTTGATTTTTATTGAAAGACAACAACCATCGGATTACTTGTGAACAATTACAATTACGAGGATCCACTACATTGTATTAAACAATATCAATAAAACGTATACCGTCTTAGTTAGTGAATGATGTCGTAAATTGTAATGCACCTTATAACCCTGATAAAAAAAAATAACAATGAATATGATGCAAAGTCAAAAAAAATGCGTATACGTACAACAACTGCTGCAACGAATTCAGCTACTTGTTTTATAGAACGATCAAATTAAAAAGTAGAAAAAAGAATGAAAATTTTTTGACGATCTATAAAGTAAAACCAAGAAGTATATCGAGTTAAAAATATACTGTTATGTTAAATATTGAGAAAAGCACAACTTACCAAGGTGATCTTTGAATGAATTTCTTTTTGCTACAAATATAAGAATAAATTTAAAAAACAAAACAATTAGTTTGTAACAGTGTTTCTAATGGAAATCTGAAATATAATGTATAGCATACGCTTTTTAGAAAGAAAAGCAATGTATATATAAGCTTTTTTTCCTAAACAAAGTGTATTATGTATACTATGACAAAGTTTCACTAAGTAAGAAGATGAAACAATTTTCATCTTTTCGTCAATTAAAAGAAAAGGACCATAGTAATAAATAAATAGGAAAACAATTTGAAATTCATCCATTAAGTACGATTCATCATAAAAAATAGAATCCTAGAATTTCATATGAATTTACAAATTACAATTGAATATTTTTAAAAACGAAAATTAAATAATCGCAAAACATTTGCCGGCTATTATTATGATCTTCGCCATCATGAATATCAGTGTGATTTGAACAAAACTAACTTGAATATGTTATTAGTGTAGATTTTATTTAGCACTTCTTGGGAAATCTTGAAAGTCGTAAAAATAGAAATCTACGACATTGCAATGGTGAAACAGACAAACATTTTATGTTTCAAACTGAATGATGAAAAGTAATCTTTTTGTTAATTTCATTGCATAATTTTTACTAAAAATGAAATTCTTAGGACTTGCTTAAGTAAACTGTCGCTTTTCGTAAATCAATTTAAAAACCATCAAAACTTTTGTTCGTTTCATCATCAGAAATTTTATTTGTTTAATTTTTCTATGGAATAGAAAGTGTTGAGAGCGAAAGGAGAGTAAGTTTGAAAAGGAAAAAAACAGCATTGCCAACAAGAGTAATTTCATTCAATAAATGCTAGAACAAATAAAAATAGACCAAAGAAGATTTTTAGTCTAAACATAATTTTTGAGCTAAAAGTGCTTTTCAGATTTTCTTTTTAAAGTATACACTGTACGCTCTCCTTTCAGAACTAAATGAAAAGTAACGTGTATTTTCACAAATACAAATGTCTGTGCACTTTGCTTCTACTAGTGTACACTTGGCATTACAAACACTGAGTTTGTCAGTGCAATGAAATGCTGATACAAATAATAAAAAGTTTATTGTAGCCGATAAGCTGGCGATAAAGAGCATAGGGACGAACGGCAATCACTGCTGAAATGTCCCACCCAGAGTCAATTGTTCAAGGAGAATGTATTAGGAAAAAGTTTTATGAAAGAAATTATTTAGGACGAAAGTACTTTCCAATTACGTTTTTCGGTTTTTCAAAACTAAGTTTCATTCCAAAGATGGCGTCACATTTCGATTACTTTTTGAACTAAAAGCATAAAATATGCTAGTTTCACAAATCGATAGACGTCGCTACACCAATTCTCTGTCACTCTCTGGATTTTAACAGTCCGAAAAATCCTTTTTTTGCAGTTGATTTGTGTATTGAAAGTATTTTTTCCAGAAAAGTGGAGTTCAAGAACGTGAGTTTCATTATAATGCATAAGAAGATTTCGAGTTCAACATTACTTGAAAGACTCGTCCAACCAAGGGGGTAAGTGCAGACGCCTAGCACCCAGCACCTGCTCAGCACCTACAGCACCTACCAGCACCTACCAGCACCTACCAGCACCTACCAGCACCTACCAGTACCTACCAGCACCTACCAGTACCTACCAGTACCTACCGGTACCTACCAGTACCTACCGGCACCTACCAGCACCTACCAGCACCTACAGCACCTACAGCACCTGCCAGCACCTACAGCACCTGTTCAGCACCTATACTGCATTTTACTATGAGCACCTACGGCACCTTCAGCACCTGCAAACATTGTTTCATTATCTTAAGTACTTAAGACAATAGAATAGTTGTTGAAGATGCTGAAAGTGTCGTAGGTACCGTAGATGCTCACTGTGGAATGCGGTATACGTGCTGAGCAGGTGCTGGGTGCTGGGTGCTAGGTGCTGGGTGCTGGGTGCTGGGTGCCTGCACTTTCCCCCTTGCGTCCAACTCTGATAACAGACTAGTTATGAATTTCGGTGGATAATGTTCATGAACACTGATTTAGAACAATTAAAAATCGATTGATTGTGTTATTCATTTTCAATTCCTTCAGTCACAAGTAAAGCTAAGAAGCGGTGGCTTATCTGGAATGTACCAGCTGCGATACTTTAATAAGGCTTAGTACGAAACCTGCAAGGGTTTAATACGAAACCTTTGATGATTTGGAAAAATCACAGAAGTATGATACGAAACCCTTTTGACTACGAAACCTAAAATGGTTCAATGCAGAACCTTTAATGATTTTAAAAAATTACAGAAGTATAATACGAAACCTTTTTTATTACTGAACCTTTGAAAGGTTTCGTAGGCGCGTACGGACACTTTTAGAATATCACAAAATACTACTGAACTTTAAAGGTTTCGTCTGAAACCATTTTTTTTTTCAGTGTGTGGGCGTGAGTTTGGGTGGGTGTGGATGTTGGTGTGGGTGTGAATATGGGCATAGTGTGGATGTAAGTCTTCTGTTGAAATACACCCACACCCACTCACACCCACACCCACATCCCACACCCCACACCCACACCCACATCCTCAAGTGCTAATCAACTAAACCTCAATGATTTAAATAATAAACAGAAACCTGAAACAAAATTTATATTATCACTTCCATATGCAAAGGAATGGAAGTTCTTAAACTTAAACTAGAACAAATTGGGATTAAATTATATTTTGCATATCCTTTAAAATTAAAATCTTTAGTAACATCGAATCTAAAACCTCAATCAAAATCAATCGTGTATCGAATGAATTGTAAATGTGGTGCGATTTACAATGGAGAAACAAAAATAGGTTTAAAAGATAGAATGAAACAATATGAAACGAAAATTAAAGAAAATGGAGTCTATGGGCTTTTTTATTTCAAACTGAATTCTAAAATAAAAAAAACCACACCAATTTCTTCCGAATCAAACTTTTCTCGCTTGATACTACGTAGTCTCACTAAAAACCCTTAGTCCCCCCTAGTCCTGCAAAGTCCCCCTTAGTCCCTCCCACAAAAAGCTTAGTCCCCGCTTAGTCCCCTGTGCAGGGGACTAAAGCCTATAGTACACAAAGCCACAAGCACACCCTCACCCTCACTCACGCGCCCACACCCGCACCATGGGTGTGGGTGTGTGTGTGGGTCCCAGACCAACACCCACACCCTCAGTCACCCCCCTCCCTCACTCCTAGACTCACGTTTCAGTTTGAAATCAAGTATTATTTTTATTTGATAAATTCAGACTGAAATTAAATAGCCCATTGTATGAGAAAATGATATAGATTCATCATCAAAAATAGTAAAACATCATTATATGAAAAATGGACAATGTTCTTTTGATCCAAATAGAGGATTTATTATAGATAATGAAATAAATTATTGGAAACGAAGAAAAAAAAACAATCTACTCGATAATAAATCAATCCATCAACAAATATGATTCAATAGACGATGGATGGAATAATTTTTTATATAAAGAAACAAAAAAGATTAAAACAATGATTGAAAATAAACAAAAATGTAATTTGGTATAATATAAAATTGGTATAATTTCTACTCTGTCGAAGAACGTTTTACGTTCGAAACGTCAGTTATTGTTTTGTATTTTTGATATTTCATTTGTTGTATTTGTTATTTTATTAATAAATTATCAAATTATATATTTGATTTTTATTTAATAAATTATTATTTTTATTGAAAAAGGAAGAGATAAAATTATTGTTTAATTATAAATGAAGTTTTTGTAGTGTAATGGTAAGCTGAAATTAGGCAATAAGAAATCGATACCCATAGAAACTTAGTTCATAGCTTTATCGGTATCAATACTAGAACAATAAGTAATTGCGTAATTCAAACGTTCATACATGATTTCTTTAGTTGAATATGCAGGTAATTGAAGCATAAACACACATGTATATGATCCTAGAAAAAGATATTCTATAATTCAATTCATTGTGTAAGTAGAATTAACAATATTTTTCTGATTTTAAGGCAAAATGATGAACTATTCTAGCTATAAGAGTATTCAATGATATCTTCGCTCCAAAGTATCTCGTAGTTGTTTATATGATAGTCATTGACTATTTATCTATCGAATGATAGAAAGTTAAATGAGGTATGCAAAATAGACAAAACGTATTCCGCTAAATGATTACAACAATAAATAAACGATTCTCAATCGGTTACCATCCTATCGAATCAAGTCGTATCATAGGTTGAGCCCGTTGGGTCCAAAAATTTTCGACCGGAACCCGGACTTTCCCTCGAAATAGTTGGATAGTATTTTGATCTTATCAATTAAATATTCTAATGAAAATCGGATGGACACTTTCAAAACAAATTTCTTCGCTTATCTATATCCGATGACTAACACACTCTACACTATATAATACACATATAGAATTATGATTAGCTCATGATTTAAGGCATCCAGATCGAACAATCTGGGTCGGAAACGACCGATTCTGTAATACTTTTGTGATATCACAGAAACAGTATTCCGATGAACGTATCCGATAGTCAAATTCATCTGATTTCTTCCGGAACCGAAAGCAACCTGTCATAGACGGCAACTCCATATGGCCGTCGAATCCCAGTGCCAGATTTCCAGTATTTCCGACTGGAGGCAGGCCAGAGCCTTCGGCATATCTAAAGTTTTTTGCTGGAAATTCACGGAGTACTACTTCAGGAATCATCGTCCTGGGCAATCACTTCTGATTGAAGAAACAAATATATTAGAGCAATCGTATCCTGTGCGATTCTATTTAAGACTTATCTCAGTGTCAGTAACTTTTGATTTGTCTTTGTATCAAATAGAAACAATTATATGTTTTGCTTTCATTTAAAAGTTATTATTGGGCATAAAATTCGAAAAATATTTGTCTATGAGTGAAAAATTTTTTTCTACCCGGACCCGATAGGCTCTAATCATAGGTATTCTTTCTATAATAACATTTTAATTACTAGTTCATATTTCGAAATTATGATCGTCCTAGTTGAGTATAAAAAAAATTATTTGTTTAGAACTCGATCATTGAAATAAACTTACGGGGTAGAGCTTCATCAACATTATCATCTGGTTCAAGATGTGTTATCAGAAAGTTCGTCGAAAAATCATCATCTCTATATGGCAATGTACTTCGTCCCCAAACGAATATTAAAAACAATTTTTTCTGTTCTTCACTAAACATTTCACTTAAAACTGACCAAAATTTCTGAATACGCGGTGAAGATTCATCATCTTCATCATAATCTGTATGACGTTTGAGCATTTCAATATCAGTATGACCTTTACCACAAATAGCTTCTTCTAATTCGTGAGCTGTGAATAAAGTTAAACAGGCCCATGGTACGACACTATATAAACCTTGACGAATAAATTCAATTTGTCGATGAAATTCCTTAATACGATATTGACGATAACGAATACAATAATCTTCGAAATTGGCAACAGTTATTGGTATGTGAAAACCACCTGGAATAAGTTCATAAGTTTGTCCTGCCGAACTAACGACATCAAATTTAAGTTCAGTCATAATACTGCTAAGTAAATAGTCACAATTCTTGTTGACATCACTATTGTCAGATTCATTCATATCTTTTATTTTTCGAATATTTTCTTCCATTTCATTGATAATTGCAAAACTTGAAATATCAATAGCTTCAATATCTTCAATTGTAACTTCTTCTTGTACGAGTTGTTTCCAGAGCAATGTTGGAAATCGAACATCAAGGTAGTGTTTCGTACGCATTGCCATGCCCATAAGTTGTCCAACAAAACGATATTGATTTTTAATATTGATTGGTATGGATCGATTCGGTGGAAAAACATTCGGAATCCATCGATCACGATTCGAACCATTATTTGTTCGTCCATTCGGACAAAGAATGAATAATGGTAATCGTGTACTACATAAATCGGCACATATTCGTGTTACCGAATCTCGATAAGGTCCACCTTGATCATAGCTAAACATGCCAACATAGACTGCTTTCCAGACATGTTCATCAGCCGATCGTCGAAATATTCGAGATGCATTAGAATGTATTTGTTCATATACTTGATAAAACATGGTATCTTCAAAACGTTCAGCTACACTAGCTTTCACAATATCAAATTTTATTTCTACTTCCGATGAATCTGAACTATCTTTAGTTTTAATCAAAGCTGCATTGAATTTTCTAAATTTTGTTTCAAATAATATATAATGCCGAGCAGATCGAATTCGATCGACAATAAAGCCTATGCCCGATGGTAAGATGAGATTTGTAAGTGACAAAGTTTTTCTGAGCAGAACATTGAAAAAATAGAGAAGTTTTACACGTGTTTGTATATATGCTGATGGCATATTACATAAGTAAGTAAATGAAGCATATTTGGTCGAATTTGGAATTGAATCAGCTGGTAGATTATCGATGAAATTGATAATAGATTCATTTGATGATTCATCCTCGTTGAGATCGATATTTTGATTCATAAACTTCATCACTTGTTCGTCAGCTGTTCTGTTAAAATGAATATGGACTGTCTCAATCATTTCTTTCGTCAATGCAAGTTTTTCGCCTAGAATTTCTTTTGATTCAGTAAAAAATAGTTCAGACCATTGACAAGGTTTTATTTTATTTATTAAAATATTGATTAAATCGAGACCCATTGATAAATCTTTCATAAATGATGACCAATCACTAAATGATGAAATCAATTGCTTGTTCCTTTCCATTTGAGTTAACTCTAATTGCAAGATAGGACGTCAAAAATATATTACTGCTAAACTACCACTGTACGCTTCATTCACGATTGATTCTTTCAAGATATTCAAAAGAAAGTTTTGAATATCATCATGCAGTTTGAAATTTTCACTTGTTTGAATCAATCTATTTGAAAAGAAGAAAACAAACATAATTTTATAGTTAATCTTTTCATTTTTAATGATTGATATCTGTGTCTGCATTGTTGATGAGTGCAAAACTTTTATATTTAAACCGCCCTCTATCTCTCAGAATCGAATTGTCACGTAGGATGATCCGATTGCGTTGAAACCTTTAAGAATAAATGATTCTAGTAACCAAAGCCCATGGCAAAAATTGCAGCCTCAATCGCTATACTAAACTTTACTTTCAGTATGTTTTGAATTTTCCACAAGAATTCAAATAACTTCATGACTACAATAAATATCGAGATTCAGCTGGTTTCAAATCAAAGCTAGATTCTATTCACGGATAGAATTTTAAATCCTGTTTCATTCATTTTCTTGTAAGCATTCCGACGAATATGACTTACAAAATAGATCTAAAAAGGGTCGATAAATGATAGTAAGTCCGATTGTTCTTAGTTCAGAAGAATGCGAGTGTGGATGTACTTATCTATTTTGATTTCAACTATCCCCTACAATCTCAGTCATACTTCTACTATCATTATGATATCAAGAAGGATGTTAGTGCTAATAGGTGTTGTTAATTGATACTAACTATTGTCCACTATATTATTCTTAATTTCTATTGCGTTCGTAACGGCATGTTTAGGATACAGTGATGCTCACACATTATTGATGTATTGTGTAGTTCTCATTTTTGTTCTTTGGTTTTCTCTTCTTTTTTTGTATTCATTTCGTTGTTTTTTCCATTTTGTGAAATACATCTTATACATCTCGCATTAATATCGATCATTTGTTTATATGGATATCATTAATTCTATTACTATAGTTAATAATATATCTTCATCGTTAAAGATCGAACAACTTGAATAAGTTCTCTCTTTAATTAAGAACCTCTTGCAATTTTGACGTCAGTTCATCACCCTCAGTGAGACACCAGATTATGATCTTATAGGAGAAAGCTAAGAGAAGAGAATTGTTTCAAATAAGTTTATTCAGAGTTAACCAGTTAACAAAAAGCTATATTAATTCTAAAAAAAGAGGATCATAGGAATTCTTTCTATGATAAAAAGTCGGCTTCGGATTTTCTAATGGGAGGGAACGAGCTTCTACAAATTTCATCCATGTAGAACAATAATTCCCATTCAAAATTATCAATGTTTCATAGCTTCACATCGTCTCGATTACATATAAAACGTATGTTGTGAATAGACCTGTTCGACTATCTAGAAGCACATATTTTAGGATGACTCAATGAATTTTGAGATTACGATTCTATGAAACATGATCTAAAGGAAACGTTGAAGTCTTCAACAATGTATTGAAGATTATATGTATGAAAAATATCGATAACATACTTAGTAAAAAGAGTAAGAATGGACCTTTTCAATCGATATGAAGGTACTAGCATAAATAGATCGAAGAGTATTTTAATAACCACGCTTGGAAACAGTAATCGAATCACTGAATCAATATCATACATTTTCCCTTCAAAATCTTCTAATATTTCCGAAAACAGATGAAATATTTTCAGAAGAAAATTTAAGTTTGATTGTTTCATGAATATTTGTTCGTCAATAGTTACATCATTATAATTGTTGATGTCAATTAATGATGGTTCAGTAAGAAAGTGAATTGATTCTTCAACAACATGCTTTTGTAAGTGAAAAAATATGAAAGCTTTTCTATTGAATAGTTCAGCAGTAGGTTTTCCGTGTACGATGCATTTTAACAAATCGATTAATTCAACTTTTATTATCGATTTTGTTATTTTGTCCATTCTGTTGATAGTTTCATCAACAAACATTCCTGAGTGCGTATGATGATGATCCATGAACTGTATTAATTGAACGATAAAATTTCCATCACCAAATTTCGAAAGTGGAAATAAATTTGATTGATCATTATTATACCAGACTTTTAATATATTCATTATTGTATGTCGTGCATGGATTGTTATTAGTCCATATGTGCATGTTGTACGTGAATGAATATAGGTTTTGCATGGCAGTTCTTGATGTACATAATGTGACGATTTTGCCAGCGTTTTCTTGAATTTATCAGTAAATTCTATTTCATCGGAATCTATTTTTGTTAAATCAGGAAGTTTATATTCAAGGTATCCAACTGTTAATTGATTAATGGTTTCTTTATTTCGAATCCAATCATCTAGTTTATCACGAATGCCGACAGAACGAGCGATTTTATAAAACCAATTTTTATTCACTGGAATATTTTCATCATCACCGTTGTCTATTTCGGATGTCAATGTCGATAATGATAAATCATTTGGCATCACATCAATATCTATTAACATAGGCAATATTTCAGTTTCATCATATGAATTCAATCGTTTTAAAACATTAAGTCTTTTTTGTTGCTGTTCTTGTTGGCATATATTTTCTATAGTTTGATTTTCTTCTCGGAGAATCTTATCGATTAAATAAATATTTGTCGTCTTATATTTTTTCATCACAAATTTGAGCAATTGTTCTTTGTAACCAATACCGATAAGATGTGTCGACAGAATATTAAACGAAGGTGCAACTAATTCATCTAAGGAATATTCAGTTGATTGAAGTAAGTTCTTCATTGATGAAGAAAGTGTTGGCATTGATCGATTTAAATATGTTATCGATCGACATTCAATACGTAGTTGATCGTCATTAATTGTGTTTTTAGTTAAATCTAACTCTCGAAAAAGATCAATACGTTTTAAGTTTGTTGCGAATTTACCTTCGGTAATTGATGTATTGAGTTCTAACGAACCATTAACATAGATATGAATCGAGTTTTGTTGAACAGAAATAAGTAAACGAATATATTCTCGTAATCTTATAGTTGATGAACTTTGACGTCCTTCTGTTACGTAAAGGTGACCATCATGTGTTACAAAGATTTTTGATTCATCGTTCACATTCAATAATGTTAATTGAGCTTTGTCATCCGATAGGTCATTCACTGATGGAAAATTCGGTATGAAAATATCAAGAATCAATGTATATTCTAACCATACTTGGTTTGAAGTACTTAAAACTACATAAGTGTTATTTCCAAAGAGTTGTACAACAGATTGATTAGTATTTGGAATAGTCTTAAAATAATTCGATTCATCATGATCAATCGACTCTTGTCTTTTTTTCCATAGGTCGGACTTAAATGGTCCATTAAATGGAACGAGTATTTCATTTGTGAAATATTTTTGTTCTGCTTTGAATTGAATTGTATTTATTTGTCTTTGATAGTTTTTTAATTGCTGATAATCGATAGCAACAAACGAGAGACCATATGTAAAAAGACGTTGAATATACTCTTCCGACAATATATATGTCCATATGCCTAAATTTTGAATTCCAGCATTTATATATGGTAAAAGTTGTAGATTCAATTTTGTATTTATTTGCGAATCATAATTGTGACAATAATTTAATGTTTGAAACTTATTGTTAATGTAGACTTTTGTTTGTTCATTTATTTCAAATAGAATAGCAACACGTTGTCGTTTTACCATAGTTTCATCGGTGAAATCGTCATTCATACAGATACACATAGAAAACGTTGCATCGTCTAACGTAAACAAGACAACATTCAGTTCATCAGGACAATTTTCTGTCTTGGAAAGTTCAAAATCAAAACTAATAGTTAATGATTGATGATTATCAAGTGACAATGGGAAGCCATGATTCTCTTCGGATAGTTTCAATAGATGATTATCTGTTGTTATCATCTTAACATCGAATGAAACTTCAAGATGTTGATTATTGACAAAATCACGTAGCAAATGAATTTTCTCATCAGTGGAATCATTCTTTGAACAACGATTCGTATAGAAATATTCTTGAATATCATTACCAATAAGATATGCACTATAAGGATATGCTACTAATACATTTTCCATGGTCAATAGTTTTGGCATCAATAATGGTTTGTATCCATTTGGTAAAGGACATTCTATCATATCTTCTGGACTAAATATAAATTCAAAGACCCCTGTATCAGCCACATTGTCATAGACTTTAACAGTAACAGCAGGAAAATAACTAGAAAAAATTCCATTTGGTAATAAATTTGTTTTAACTACTGATTCAACTGTCTTATTTTCATTATATGAAAATAACGTACCAAGAAATTTACCATTTAACCAGTATTTAATAGTCGTATTTGTACCATCGATATCAATACCACAACCACATACATCGTCTTCATCCCAAGAATCGTCAGAAAAAAAATAGCTACGCTGTTTGCGATCGTATACTGCGCGTTCTCCATTACAACCCCATGAAAAATAATCATCACCAACGCCGTAACTATTCTTTAATGATGGATTAAAACCTTTGGTTGCCCAACCAATATTTGCTTCACCACCCAGAGGAAGTTTAATGCAAAAATACCATTTTCCTTCGTTTAATTCTATGCCTTCAGGAATGAAAGTTCGATATCGAATATCTCCAGTTTCATCGGTTATATTAATTCGTCCTTTGAATTTATGTTTAATACCACATTCTTCTATAATCGATAGATCATTACTGGGAGGCACAGGAACAATGTGAATATCATCATTTCCTAATCGACCATTTTTGTAGGATTTTATCTCAATCTTTGATGCAATCGGTTTCCAGTTTATATTTGTCGAACTTTCTTCAGATAGATATTGTAGAATAATGGGATCACGAATAAATTTCTTTTGTTTTTGTTCATTTTCATTAGGAATATTGTCAAGTTTGTTTTCAATTACTGAATTTTCTCTTGCATATCTATCTAAACTTAGATAATACTGTTCTAAATGTAATCGATTGAACAAACGCAAATCGTTTGGTATTACACTACGAATTGAATTAAGATGTTCCATCCAACTCGATAGTTTAGCAATTATTGATGCATAAGATTTTTGCATGAAAATTTCAATAACCTGTTTATAATTCAATATATCGTGTAATGTTTTGACAGCACGACATTTTATATCTAATAATATTAATGAATCAATTGTTAATGTATCAATTTGTACAAGAAATCCTAATGTATCAAGAATAGTATGAACTGTATTATCGTTTGGTAAAAGTGCAAGATTCGGTGTTTGAACATCAACAATGATATGTATTTGATTCGATGAAAGCCATTCAGTTTGGTTTGTAGATACATATTGTACCAGATAAGGTTTAACATCGGATGAATCTGATTCAGAAGCATTCACATTAACTTCAATTATAACTGCATATTCTAATTCATCTATAGTTGTATCAGATGAATAGATTCCTACAGTTGAACCCAAACAAAATGGTTGAACATAACCACCTAAGATACATATGGATGCAAGAAAAACATTCATTTGTTTTAATTCAACTGTTTCTAATGATTTAAAATTGAAATTCATACAGGATTTTATTGCATCGACAAGCATTTCAATAGCAAGTTTTTGCCACGGTGAATTCTGTGACATAATTGTACGATAGATGTAGATAAATTCAATGATAATATCAAGATCTGTTTTTTCAGTTTCTAATAAATTAAAATTCTGTCCAATTAGAAACAAAATTTTCGTTAATAGATTTTCAATAAAAGATTTATTCATTATTCCATTGGTATCGTCGGGTAAGCATACCAATAGATCACGTAGAATTTTTAATGTTAGCAGACGAATGCGAAGAGATTGACTTGTATCATATAAATTGTATAATTGTTCAATATAATCCATCGTAGCATAATTCAATCGAATATAATCATATAAATGAATACAACGAAGTAAAAGCATTAAATATTGTTGTATACAAACGTCAACATTAAATTTCGATGATACAACCAAAGAACGAAATGAAATATTTTTCAATGATGAATCTTCGTATTTGTTTTCAAATGTCAATTTGTTTTGTTGTAATTGTTTGAGTTCAGTTAAAATTAATTTATTAAAAATTAAACCACATTGTTCTTGTAAGATATGATGAAATTTTCGATTGCCGAAATGCAGATCTCGTAATTGCTCTAATTCAATATTTTCACATAATTGTAATAAAACTAAACGAAACCAATCGAATGCTGTAAAATTCAAATTCATTGAATCAACACTTTTCGTATCGCCTATTTTCATTACGCTAATAAATGGATTGAATAGTTCTTGAATAAATTGAAAATGATTCAAAAGACATAAATCCATTGAATCATAGTTTAAATTTATAAGATTAAACATACGTAATATGAACAATGTTTTCATATTAGATTCTGTTGACATGGATATTATATGTTTAATAATTTTATAATAGAGTTTTCCAATATCTTCTTTCAATTGATTATTTGATGCTCGAATATTTTCAAGATAATGCCAATCGAGATTATTATCTTTTAATGTCATAAATAAAATAGTCAGAATTTGATTCGTATCTTTACTAGTCATAATTAATTGTTCAACAAATCGATAAGTAATTAATCTAGTCATAGCACGTTGATATTGTCGTGTAAGACATTTAACAATTTCATCGGATTCAATTTTTCCTTTTTCATTTTCATAGAGACACGTTGTAATAGCTCGATGCATAATACTTTCACTATCTTTCTTGTCTTCAGCGGCTCGCTTTTTTTCTAACATTAAATTTTTTAATCTTATACAAGCATTTAATGTATTACGAATTAATTGAATGATACATTTTGCTTTTGTCCAATGTGATTGTTGTCGTTGTAAATGAAATTTTTTCGTAGTAATAATTGGTAATGAGTAATCTTCTTTAATTTTTGCAATGAAAGAACTTTCTCGAATCGATACAAGTAATAATAATGCATCTTTTTTAATTCTTTTATAAAGTTCATCACAATCACCACCACGAGCTTTTGTCGTTGCAAAAATTCTTCGTACTTCATTAGCATATTCATAGAGTATGAGAAGTTTAGCATGCGGTTTTTGTTCAATTGGTTGAGTTAATTCATGTTGAGCTAGATCAATACGACGATAATGTTTTATGTAAACGGCAAATATTGCAGCACAAGCATCATTAGCAATGATTTCAATTGATTTTTGTAAGATATGTTGTTTATTTCGAATGAATAACTTCATTTTTGATATTAATTTTGCACCTGGACCAGTATTATGATAGATTGAAATTAAGAAATCATTGTCTAATATTGATTGTTGTCGTCGTAAAGGCAAAATAAATCGACTATGAATAGTTAAATTAGATTTGAATAAATTCGATAGATATGGATTTACATCTGTTGTTAGAGTTTCATATCCACCAGAAAATAATGGTAATTTCAATGTTTTATTATATTTTTTTTCTAATGGACTCTGTGGTGGACCAACAATTAATCGATGACTCATCTTTCCTAATAACCATGAAATTAAATAATTTGTTTTATTTTCAACATCGATTTTTGTTTGTATAATATATTTAGCAAATAAAGGCATGACAGCAGCAAAAATTGGTTGTATGATAGCAAAGTTAAATTTTGATTCAGTAAGAGTACATAGACCAAGAAGAAGTGGTTCGAATAAAATACTTTGAATTTCTTGTTGAAGACAAGATTTGATGATATGTGTCGTATATTCTATACCAAGTGTTGATAGAGCAGATGGTTTAAGTTCATCGGATATATCGACTGGTTGATTATTTAAATAAACTAAAAGTAATTCTTGAAACATAATTATAATTTCACGTAAACGATTAACTTTTTCAATGTCTACGAAAGTTGATTTTAAGACAATATCAATGAATGAATGTAAGACTGTGTATGCTAATGTTCTGTCTTGTGTATGTTGATTATCACAAAGAATTTCAATCCATTCATATATAAATACTTGTTGATTTAGTTTATTTAATAATTGATCAATTAATATCGGATGTCGATTTTCAATGATATGCTTATGAATGAACGTTAACATTTCACCAAATGGTAATGTTTGTTTTTCGATCAAATAGGTCAATGCTTGTGAAGCTTCTTTTTTTCTCTCTTCTAAGTTATCATCAAGAGCTAATTTAGATATCAATGTGAACCATTTTTCAATGTCATTTTCATTCAAAAAATCATGAAAATTATCGAAGTTTGCACTTATTAAAAATTGTAAATGTGTTGTGAATAATCTTAAACAAATGTTCAAAATGTATTCAAGATTCGTATTGGATGATGTTTCTATTACTATTGTTAATTGTTCGATTATTTCAAATAGATATTTAAATGTTTCAGCTTCTAGTTCAAATGAAAATGATCCATTTATAGAACCACGTTCGAATTTTGATTTTGCATGAAATTGATTATGTAAATCAATATGAACAAGTAATATTGAACATATGAATTGACCAGTGAATTTCTTTTTATTTATTGTTATCAATTGTGTATTTGGATATGCTTCAATTAATTTAAGATATTCTATAGCAGCCAAAAGTTTCTGTTCAATATCCAATGCTTTTTCAGTTGGTAATACTGCTTCTAGAAAAAAAATTGAATTCGACAGGTATAGAAAAAAAAGCATGCTAAATCTTTCTTTTATTATGTTCTAATAGTCCTTTTTTAAGTAAGAATACTGGACAAAATAAGCACTAGTATTACATTATAACTTGTCTCGGATAACATTCAATTCTCTTTTCATAGATAGGTTTCGTGAAATATGGATATTAACAACTATATTAATGACTATATTTTGTTCAATTCAAAATCAATTGTTCTTACCAGTTCTATTTTGAACTTGTGTTGTGACATTGTTATCTGTAGTACTATTTTGTGGTATAGTTGTTGTTATAGATGATGTTTGATTTTCTTTTTGAAATCGATCTAACGTCATCGTTAGATGTTTGTTCAATTTAACAAGTAATTTTCTTATATCAAAAATATCATTCGTATTGAAAATTAATTTTCTTATTAATGGTAGAATATCTTTGAATGATGCCTTCATGACAGAAAAATGAAATAAAATTTTAATTGATTGATTTGCTGCAATTGGATCAATATCAGTTTGTATTGATAATTCTTGGCAATAGTCGGTTAATGGTTTTACAGATTTAAATAAATTGTGTGATCGTTTGTAAACATCGGATGAAAGACAGTTCAATGGAATTTGTTCAACAAGTTGATTTGTCAAATTGAGCATTTGATGAACAATAGTAGAATCAGATTTATGCACTGATTTGAGTAACATCAATAGCATAGTTATTAAAGATTGAACAGCAAAAAATGACAGTTCCTTTACTTGTTGTTCATCTAATATTTTTTCCGAATCGATCAAGGTTTCAGAAAATATTGAATTCATTTCATTTTCATCGTCTTTTAATTTTTCACTATAGGAATTTTTCAATTGTTCCTGTTTATTTATGATCGATTGCATAGAATTTTGTAGATTGGTATTCGTTGTTGCAATATAATCGAACATTTTTTTAAGTATTTCTACAATTTCCATATTGAATTTCTTAACTCCAAATAAATTCGAGAAATTAGATATATCATTTCGAATTTGATTGATCAATACTTGTTTTGTAATTGATAGTTCATTTGAAATCTTCTGATTAGGTAACGAAGTGAAATTTTTATTGATTTCATTGATAATATCAAATGGTAAAAATAAATGAATATCGTCTGTTTCATTCGCAGATAATACCTCATTCGATTGTTGATTATTCGTTGCCAATAAATCAGATATTTTAAAATCAGATAAAGATATCTGTTGCCCCATATTTACCTAATTGTTGATCAAGGAATCAAGCTTATTATTGTACAATGATAATCCAATAGCAATATTCTATATCACACCCGACTCTATAATAGTTAGGAGATTATCATATCGAATCGTATGCAAACACAACGAAAAGAAAAGCACAAACAAAATATTTAATTGTTAAAAAAATCACATTCTGTCTTATTGGCTTCATACTTTTATTCGAAAAACCTCTCAAATAAAAAATGAAATTAATTTTCTCGTTTTTTACTAAAAGAAAATAATTCTTATAGGTCCTCAAAGCCTACTATATAGGGATGCACAGAAATCTTCAAGATCTATTATATAGAGCTATAAATAGGTGCTGAAGGGCAGGGTGGATGACTGTTTTTGACAGTGGGACGGATAAGGGTAAAAATTTGACAAAAAGTCCGTCATCTTCATCGTACAAAGTCAGTGTTATTTCTGTTGTATTTCTTGCCGAAAATCAATGTTATGTATGCCATATTTCCTGCAGAGATTCCAAAGTTTTGCAGAAAATTCAACATAAATACCATCGACTTTCTGCAAGAATTTGGCAAAGAGCATGTCTACTTTCGTTTGGTTACAGCAAATTGACAAGTTTTCTACTGTAGTGAACTAATCGATTTCTCGGAAAGCATTATCAAAGATTTTGACAGAAAGTCTGAAATTGGTTACGTGCTAGCTCTTCCAGTCTCCTAATCGGGAACGCTGCTCAAAGCCTATAGTAAGAGGCATACATAGATGAGGATCTATGGTTACCCATATGAGAGATCCCGTAACGACTTTTGGTGGCCCCTCTTGTATAGCTCTGCGGACCTATGGATACTATTATATAATAGCGCTTGATATCCTGTGGGTACCGCTATAGTATATGCCTTGAGAACCTTTACGAGAGCTTCTATGATCTGATCGAGCATCGCTCCAATATATGAGGCACTCGATAAATTTTTTTTTCGATTTTTTTTGCTCATTCAAAACATCAATGTCTAAAACTGCTAACCCTAAAATTTTAGGTTCTAATACCCTTCCTATGAAGAGCAGTCATCCTATTCCGCGAAGTTGAACATTCTGGAAGCAGTTCCGACCCCGGAATTGCTTCCAGCGATTCCGGAACCGAATACAAAGTAAATCCACACCAATTCCTAGGAATTCCGTCTAATTCCGGAATTCCCCAATTAAACAACACCGGAACCCGTGGGCATTGATAGCAATTCCGTCCGATTCCATCTAGTTTCCGAATTGCCACTTGTGTTTCTATTCTATCAATCTTTATCGATATAATGACCATCCGATTCCGGTCAGGAATTCCGCATTTGAGCGGATCCGCAATCGGTGGGAATTGCTAGGAATTCCGCGGAATTCCTTCCGATTCCATGCGGTCCCGCATTCATTTGATACCCGGAATTACATCCAGTTATAAACCTCAGAGGATGACTGTCATGCCAACGCTGAGCGACTCCAGAATCACAAGGAATTCCGCGGAATTCCTACCAATTCCATGCGATTCCGGATCCGTTTGATACCCGGAATTCCGTCGCGGAATTGGAGGGTGTGGGTGTGGGTGGGTGTGGGTGTGGGTGTGGGTGTGGGTGTGGGTGTGGGTGTGGGGTGGGGTGTGGGTGTGGGTGTGGGTGTGGGTGTGTGGATGTGGGTGTGAGGGTGTGGGGTGGGGTGTGGGTGTGGGTGTGTGTGGGTGTGTGGGGTGTGGGTGTGGGTGTGCGGATGTGGGGTGTGGGTGTGGGTGTGGGTGTGGCTGCTTATCTATTGTTCTCAATCCAGACCCACACACCCACCCCACGCCCTACCCATACTCGGTACGCTGCTAGAGCTTTCTCAGTACATGGGTATCCTGAACTCAGTACTTTCTCTAGGGAATGCAGTTTCCTTCAGTAAAGTAGGTCCGTTTGTCTGAACGATACATAATAGAGGCCTGCGATTTGCATAACCTTAGAGAGCGTAAGTTTGTCTATCGAAACAACTTTTTTACAAGAAAGATGTAAGAGAAGTTACAGAAATGCAGCAGTTGAATTGTACATGGAATTATTGCTCAAACCTTGCTTTTCGTACTGGCGAAAAGAGTAACTCTCTGTCTGATCCTTATCAACAAAATAAAATACTCAAGAAACATAGAGGTGTCTTATATTTTTGAAATAGACAGTAGTAATAGTACTGTATCAGCCTGATATTTCTACAGTCATTAGTAAAAACAAACTGTGCATTTGTAAGAAAATCCACAAATAATCTATCGTGGCAGAATATGCACGAATGATTGCAAAAAAATATTGAAATTAAACTTACAGTTAACCCTATTGCTGGAAACTTTATATTGTTTTGTCATCGGTTTATGATACATTTGTGAGGATAGCTCAATTTCACTGTTTTAAGATAACAAGAATAGATGAAGAACACATGAGATAACAATGATGAAGTTATTCATGTTTAATATATGGAATAATCGTTAAGTAATTTGCAAAGATAAATGTATCCATTAAAGCAATAATAGCCATCCAATTAAATTTCATATCTACACTAACAATAAACAACTTCTATTGGCATAATGCATTTGTCACGCATTTGTTCCAGTTATATTCATAGTAAAGCTCATTCATCGATAGTGAGAAAGATTGAATTTTAAAACCAAGTTATTGTTAAATGACTTTTAGTTCATCAAATTAGACTTTTTGGTATCCTGTTACATCTAAGCTCATAGCAATCATTCATACAATCACAACATTCATTTTATATATTTTACTATTTATCGTATATATTTGTCATGAATAGTTAAAGTTTATTTTCAAAAGAAACACAACATCGAAGAAATAAAATGATTTCTAATGGCTCATCCAAGCGTTGTTCATTGTTAAAACCAAAATTAATATTGAAATTTTAAAATATGTTAGTCTAAACTAATTGGTTCGGATAGTCCTCCTGCTCTCTATTTGAACGACTGCTGGGAATCATGCGAATGCTTGTGGTTGTTGATGGAGAATATTTTCTGGAAATTACTTTTTTAACGTCGATTATGGATACAAAGCAAATGAAAGAAAATATAAAAGTAATAAAATAGCAAAAAAAGTAAATGTACGGTATTATATCAGCTCCAATGTTCGACGGCACACCACATAGATGAGCAATATATATTACAGTGAGTGGAAAATTAAGAGAGAAATTCGGAACAGAGAGTTCCATGAGCTGAATTGTCATCTTTCGTTGTTTACGCCATTGAATTCGTTGACGTATACGATATTTTTGCCAGATTACTCGACCAAGGAAAACTAAAGTAATAAATGGTTCCAGAAGAGGTGGCATGATAATATTAACAAATAGTTCCCACATATACAAATTTTCGTCATTTATATAACAGGCAGAGTAACCACAATACATGGATGTATAATCATACATATTTTCACATGGATAAAAAAAATAGACACATATATAATAAATAAAAATATATAAAGTAATGGAAAATAATGGTATATAATGTGTAAATATTCTTTTTTTTTCTTGTTGATATCCATTGATCATGAAATACAATAATATGTCGTTCAAAAGCCATCCAAACTCAGAATTCCTGCTCCATTGTACAGGCCAACATCGGCAAAATACCAGATTAGGCAAGTCGATGGATTTGCTGGAATAACAGCAGAATGCACAATGTAGTTAAGATAAAATGGAACATCAATCAATTGAATGGGCAAACCAAGAACAAGCAAAATGATCAGAACATGATTTTTAATGCTTGACCGTGCTTTTCGATTGATAAAAATGTAAAATAGGACAATAAATGTAGATAAAATAGATACAATGTTGAATGGAAGAAGAATCCAAAAGCGAGCAACAGGTGATAACATGCTATCAGAACTACCACCAGATGAACTGTTGTTGGAGTCATTGAAACTTTGATTGTCAGACATTTCGAGACGTTTTCAAATAATCTAAAATTGTATTTATATGAAAGTCAGAGGAAGATGTTAAGTAAGCATAATTGGAATAAGAGATGTAAATCGAAACTTCATTCTATTGGAGAAATGATCGATACAATTAATTTAGCGATCTTGTGTTATAGACTCAGAATTGTCAACGATAATAGGTACCAGAGATGAGCGAGCCGCGGTGTAAAACCGCCCCGTCCCGCCCCTCCCCGCCCCGCCGGCGGGCGGTGCTAAAACTTGACGGGGCGGGGCGGTGACGGTGCATGACGAAATTTCGCGGTTTCCCCGCCTTTGTATAACCTTGATTTTTTAAATATACTCAGACCTTTAGAGACATCTTTTTAAAATTTTAAAATCTTTTCACAAAACTAATCAGTAAAAAAAAACTTGTTAGCGCAGCTCCAGAGGAGCTAAAATGTGGAGCTCACATATATTTTTTTAATTTTTTGTCCTGATGCCTTATTTTTAAATTGTAAAATACCTTTTTTCCGAATACGTATGAAATCATTGATATATTATATAAAAACTAGAGCCTTTTATGCGCTGCTGAGGTCTGTAATGGTGGGGGTCAGGGTTACCAGATCGAAAATTAAAATATCAGAAAAATTTTTCTAAAAATTGGGAAAGTCGGAATTTTTGTTCTCGAAATCGGAAGAAAATCAGAAAGTATTTTTCCATGCTTAAATAACTAGTCTATATATTTTCGATAGCTTCAATAGCCTTTATCTTGCTTCTGTTCATCTTTTCGAAGCAATATCAGAAATGATATTTCATAAAGAATTAAAGAAAATATCGATTACACAATTTACTCATGATTGAGAAATCTACATAAGTAATTTGAACAGGATCACATTATTTTTATCAAAAATGCTATAACCAACTGGACGAAACAATAGAATCAGTATTGTAAATTCATACACACACATGCATTTCACAAAACTTATGCAAAAGAAAACTAAGACTTATTCTGTATAATGTTCGTTTTTGTTCATACTTTTTTATTAGCTCGAATACTCTTCAAAATATCAGGTTGAGGTAACAGATATTCATAAAAATGTCCAC